TTCTTTTTTTTTGGCAATAATTTGAGAAAACTGCTCTGTTGCTAGGGAATTATGAAGGTAAAATGGCTGGAAAAAGGGGGAAAAAAGGGAAAAAACTTTCTTTTCTACTTCCTCGTATCTTTTGATTAGACAAATTTTAATAGATTTCTCAAGAAGTGTAGAATAGAACTCGAAATTTTAAACTTTAAACTCTAAATTCTAAATTTTAAACTTTAAACTTTAAACTTTAAACTACACTAAAGCTTTAGAATTTTATAACCTTTTCATTGTTAATAGTTTTAGTTTCAATTGCATTTTGCACAGCCGCGCGAAACAAGGTAGAAATGCGTTTTTTGATGAAGTTATTTGTTTGTTTGTTTGTTTGCTTGTTTGTTTGCTTGTTTGTTTGTTTGTTTGCTTGCTTGTTTGTTTGTTTGTTTGAGTTTGAGTCTCTGAGTTTGATCAATTTCTCTTGATCTTCACTCGCTTTACGTCACCAAGCTGCTGGGAAATCGATCGCTCAATGGCAATTGATCAAATGGTGACGTAATTTTATGAAAATAGATAAGCATAGAGAATAGAGAAGCATTAGAATTTGGTAATGGACAATTTAGATAAAAATTTGACTTAAAATATTTGAGCTAAAAAGCTATTTGATTAATGGAAAAAACCCTAAAGATCCATTTCATTTTCAGTCGATTTTTATCATTTTTCAATCACTTTTTTCTAAGCTCTGGTTAACGCTAAAAAGTTGTTTTATGTCTCAAAAGATTACCCATTTTCTCTACTTTAATTTGATACCAAAGCGCAGTGAAAGAAACGTACTGGTGTTGAGGTATGAGCGTTTGTTTGAGTGTAGGCCGCGATGCTTTGTGTGATGTTTCGTGTCCCTTCATTAATATCAAATCTAAACCAATTCTGAACTTTAATTTAAAGAATTTTTTAAAGAGCAATATAAATTCAATAACTCTTACATCTATCTACCGTAAAATTCTAATAGAAAAGCTATAAAAGCATCGTGGAGCCTACACTCAAACATCACACAAAGCATCGCGATCTACACTCAAACAAACGCTCATACCTCAACACCAGTACGTTCCTTTCACTGCGCTTTGGTATCAAATTAATGTAGAGAAAATGGGTATTCTTTTGAGACATAAAACAACTTTTTAGCGTTAACCAGCGCTTAGAAAAAAGTGGTTGAAAAATGATAAAAATCGGCTGAAAATGAAATGGATCTTTAGGGTTTTTTCCATTAATCAAATAGCTTTTTAGCTCAAGTATTTTAAGTCAAATTTTGATCTCAATTGTCCATTAACAATTTCGAATGCTTCTCTATTCTCTATGCTTATCTATTTTCATCAAATTTTGTCACCATTTGATCAATTCCTATTGAGCGATCGATTTCCCAGCAGCTTGGTGACGTAAAGCGAGTAAAGATCAAGAGAAATTGATCAGAAATCTTTCGGATGCTTATGCATAATGGGAGGATTTACATAAATTAGCCGGTAAATTACTTAAAAAGTTTTTAATTTAGTAAAAAATTCATTAAATTCATCAATTTTCATAGATTTTCGTTCATTTTTGAGCTTTTTGAACCTTTTTCAACCCTTTAAAGTGTTAAAATTTATCAATAAATTGAAATCTTTCTTTAAATTCTTTAAACGTCTTTCTTTCTCTTTCTTTCTCTTTCTTTCTCTTTCTTTCTCTTTCTTTCTCTTTCTTTCTCTTTCTTTCTCTTTCTTTCTCTTTCTTTTTCTACTTTTATCAACACTTTTTTTCTTCACAACTGCTAATTGATCGTTTGGTTTGTTTTGAACGAGAAAAGTTTTGTTTTCTCTTTTTTCTTTTTTCTTTTCTCTTTTGGATCACAAGTTTTCTTTCTCTTCTGTTTTTTTCTTTCAAAAAATTCTATCAATAACAATTTTTGGCGACGAAAACATTGTTTTTTCCGGGATTTTCCGGGAAATTGACCATTCCTGAAGATGGTTTTGAGATTTTAAAATTTGATTTGAACCTTTTAAAGTTTAATTTTTGGTGTTGAAATGTTGAAATGATTTGTCGAATTGTTAAAACATTTGTTTCTTGTCAGTCAAGAATGATTTTGTCAGTCAAATGATTCAGTGAAGAAATTTATCGCTTTTCACATCAAATTCCCTTGAGAAACTGGTTCAACAAAAAATCCTATTGAAGATTTCATTGAAGTTTTCACTCGATCAATGTGAAAGAGTCGGATTTGATTGTGAGAATCATGACTAGAGTGTGTTCCTCGCGAGTAATGCGTTTTTTTTAAAACGCACACTTGGGAAAAAATTACCGCTAGAAAAAATTTAGCAGAAATTATTGGGGGTGGGACAAATGCGACCTTTTTTTTGCGCACCTGGACATTGAGGAAATTAGCCTACCCCCGGGTTTTTCAAAAAAAAATCACTTTTTACATTGGAAGAGAATTTCCCCATCAAATCAGTTAAACGGCTGAGTATCTTTAAAAAGTGTCGTATATAATGCGAGGCTCGTCATTTTTGCGTCATTTTTTGCAATAATTTCGGGGGTGGGACAAATGCGACCTTTTTTTTGCGCACCTGGACATTTGCGCACCTTTTTTTTGCTGGAAAAGGCCTTAGGAAAGGCCGTAGAGCTTCGGAAATATTTCGAAAATTTTTCCCGATTAGGGAATCGTATGCGTAGATTCCGAATTTCGACAAATCAGACCTCCCTGACACGTCAAATTTGGGTTAAAAGGCAAAAACTACGCAACTCAACGCTTTTCCGCAGTTTTTGCCTTTTAGCCCAAATTTGTCGTGTCAGCGAGGTCCGATTTGTCGAAATTCGGAATCTACGCATATGATCCCCTTATATGGAAATGTTTTCGAAGCTCTACGACCTTGCCTAAGGCCTTTTCCAGCAAAAAAAAAGGTGCGCAAATGTCCAGGTGCGCAAAAAAAAGGTCGCATTTGTCCCACCCCCGAAATTATTGCAAAAAATGACGCAAAAATGACGAGCCTCGCATTATATATGACACTTTTTAAAGATACTCAGCCGTTTAACTGATTTGATGGGGGAAATTCTCTTCCAATGTAAAAAGTGATTTTTTTTTGAAAAACCTGGGGGTAGGCTAATTTCCTCAATTTTTTTTGCGCAACAGGATCATTTGCGCAACTCGCCATAACTTTCTTCTAAGTGGGCCAATCTTTATGCTTTTGGTTTCATTTTGTTGCACTTATTGAGGTCTACCTGCGCAAAAAATTGCTTTTATTTTTTTTTCGCGCAGGCGCACTTTTTAGAAAACGCAGACAATTACTCGAGCTATTACTCGAGTAAAACATTACGCATGCAAATTTACTCGAGTAATTACTTACTCACGAGGAACACACTCTAATCATAATCTCTTCAACTTTTACCTAGAAATGCTTCAATAAGCAGTCTTGATATAAGCAAAACTTGGAGCAAAAGCAAAACTTTTCTTTACAATTTCATTCTTTACCCATTCTTTTTGCAATTGCAATTGTAGCAGCAATTGCCAAGTTCTAGAAATATGAAAACTCTCTTTCTGTTTTTTTTCTTTCAAAAAATTCTATCAATAACAATTTTTGGCGACGAAAACATTGTTTTTTTTCTCTGGGAAATTGGTGATTCCTGAAGGTGATTTGATACTTGATACTTAGCAAAAAGTAAAGCTTTGATGTTTATAGTTTCCAATAGACTTTTAGATAATAGTATGACAATAGACAATAGTACGGACAATAGTTTTTGTAACTTTAGAAAAAAATACTGAGAATCAGTTTTCATATTGATGAAAGATCGATGAATCGAAGATTCAAAATGTTCAAGCTTTAGCCCATCTTTTAGTTCAAATACACTTTTTTAAAGCTCTGTAGACTTTGTAGACTTTGTAGACTTGTAGACTTGTAGACTTTGTAGACTTGTAGCTTTTGAGACTTGTAGCTTTTGAGACTTGTAGCTTTTGAGACTTGTAGCTTTTGAGACTTGTAGCTTTTGAGACTTGTAGCTTTTGAGACTTGTAGCTTTTGAGACTTGTAGACTTTGTAGACTTGTAGCTTTTGAGACTTGTAGCTTTTGAGACTTGTAGCTTTTGAGACCTGTAGCTTCTGTAGACTTGTAGCCTTTGTAGCTCTTCCTATCTCAATTCCTACCTTTCTATCGATTAATCAATTTCAATTCTTCAATCCCTATATTATTTAAAATCATGATAAGCTCTTGTGTACTTTGTCTTTATGTGAACAAAGGTTTGAACCGGTTCTTTTATATAGCTGAGAATACAAAGCATGTTCGGCGCAAGGACTCAAACCTGTGACCTCTCGTTGGGCATTGCATTACCGGGCAAAAGCTCTACCAATGCGCTAAAGTGACACGTATTCCAGCGTATTCCAGCGGCCAGGAAAGCGCTTTATGCCTTTATGCCTTAAGCCATTTTTGGTGTATTCGATTCTAAACGACTAGATCAGACGGAGAATTTTCTCGATAATTTCGGATTAAACGGAAAATTCCCCCATTCCCATTGATCCTCTTTCTCAAAAAGTCAAACAAGCAATATGTGGGCGTCATTGTAGCCCTTTCATCTTTTTCCCCGATCCATTCAAATTTCCACTTGATCCATTTCGTTCAAAAACTTTCAATAACGCATTTCCCCAACATATAAAAGAAAAAAAAACTCGTGTTCATTTGCCCCGATTTAGATTGAATTGGAAAATAGGCGAGAGAAGTGGCTGGTGTATGAGAGGAGAAACACAGGCAAAAAAAAAAGGAAGGGAGGTGACATTTGTGTGACAGGTCGGATCGATTCCCCCCATCTTTTCTCTGTTTCTTTTCCCCCTTCCCCCCCCCCCCTCTCCTATTTTCTCATTCACAAAACACCTATTATATTTTTGAAACATATTTGTTATCTTTTCTCTTTGATATTTTCGTTTTCAATATCTTTTCCACGGTTTCTAGTGATTTTCAATTTCAATTTTCTCGATTTCAGATGCGGTTGTGACACGTACCGGAAACATTTTTACGATATGGGATATCGATCGAACACTCGTACCTATGCTTTATTGATAGTTGGCGGATTTGTGACACTATGGATTTTGATAGGAAGGAGCGGAATCGAGAAAAGGGATGAACAGGTGGAATTTTGATTTTTTTACATGAATCACATGAATGATAACAATGAACAATGACAAAATTTGTACTCTAAACGATTCCATCTGCAGCTAGAGTAGTAGAATTAGTAAATAGCTTAATCGTTTGATTTTAAGACTCTAACCGTTTGACTTTAAACGATTCCATTTGCAGTTAGGGTAGGAGAATTAGTGAATAGCTTAACCGTTTAATTTTAAGACTCTAAACGTTTAACTTTAAACGATTCCATTTGCAGTTAGAGTAGGAGAATTAGTAAATAGCTTAATCGTTCGATTTTAAAAAGTATACAAAGCCAAACTAAACATCCACAACGTATAAAGCAAAGTTTTTGGCTATTTTATCAAATCCAGTCAGCAAATCTAGCCCAGAAGTAGAAAGCGAATCAAAAAATAAGCCTTATAACGAAAAATAAGAAAACTATAGCTTAGAAAGTTGGTTTTGGTTTTTCATTTTATCAAAATGTCTGAATTTCTTTAGACTCAAGGCTTTTAATTTCATTTTAGTCAGCAAATCTAGTCCAGAAGTAGAAAGCAAATCGAAAAATAAGCCTTATAACGAAAAATAAGAAAACTAGCTTAGAAAGTTCAGAAAAAAGTGATGACGATTCGGTAAATGAACGTTGATCAAGAGCATCGATTTGCCATCAAAGTTTTCATCAATCTTTCCACAAAAATTGAAATTCATTGTCGGTTAGATTCAGTTAGATTCTGATTTCTTATTTAGCTCTTTAACCTTATCAAGAGTTTACCAGAGCAAAATTCTACCTAGAGTACCATGAAATAAAGTGCGGCGAAAGTTCTGTCGTTTTTAGAATTCTCTTTAAATTCTCTCATTGTTATCATTTCATAAGTGTTTATAGCCAAAAGATAGCCAATCTTTTACAGAATTTAAATCTTATTTCCGTTTTTAAATAGCTTTTATAGGCTTTGGGTTATCGCTATTCTTGCTCGTCGAAAAAAGTTTCTGTGGTCGCACTTTTTTTTTCGCGCTTTTTCATTGCAAAATTTCTATTAAAAATTAGAAACTTATTGAAAACTTTTGTTATATTTTTAGTTTAAAACTGATAAACAATTTTTCGCGGACTCCTAGTCGTCTGAGTTTCAAGTTCAACAGATTTTCTTGTACTGCTAATACCAATAACTGGTGTGACCACAGAGCTCACGCAAATTATGATAACTCAAAGTCTAAAGAAGTTATTTAAAAGCGGAAATAAGATTTAAATTCTGTGAAAAATTGGCTATCTTTTGGCTAAAACATTTATAAAATAATAACTATCAGAAAGAATTCAATAAAAGAGAATTTAGAAAAGACAGAACTTTACAACCTGTACAATCTTTCTTTGGCTAATCTTTTGCACTAGCATAGATCGACTTTGAACTTTGAAGAACAGAAATTGAACTGAAGAACTGAAGAACTGAATCTTTATCACTTAAATTCCAGATCCACGTGGCTCGATCGGTGGACAGTTACGGCGAGATCGACTCAAAGTCACCGTTCATTTTCATCGGCGGCGTGCCGCGATCGGGAACGACACTGATGAGAGCGATGCTCGACGCACATCCGGATGTGCGTTGTGGAGAAGAGACGAGGGTGATCCCAAGGATTTTGGGTTTACGAGGACAATGGAGAAAGAGCGACCGAGAATGGAATCGACTGCAACAAGCCGGTGTCACCAACGAAGTGATCAACGCGGCTGTTGCCTCGTTCATCGTTCAAATCATCGCCGGACATGGCGAGGTGGCAAATCGGCTTTGTAACAAGGATCCATTCACGATGAAATCTGCAGAATATTTGGCTGAAATTTTCCCGAATTCGAAATATATTTTCATGATTAGAGATGGACGAGCCACAGTTCACTCAATTATCAGCAGAAAAGTGACAATCACCGGCTTTGATCTAACCGATTATCGGCAATGTTTACAGAAATGGAATGCGGCTATTCAAGCGATGCTCGAGCAGTGTAACGCTGTCGGCGCCCGATGTTTAAAAGTCCACTATGAGCAATTGGTTCTACACCCGGAAGCGCAAATGCGAAGGATTTTAGATTTTCTGGATTTACCTTGGAATTCAACAGTGTTGAATCACGAGCAATTGATCGGAAAGGATATTTCATTGTCAAAAGTCGAAAGATCGAGTGATCAGGTGGTGAAACCGGTAAACGTTGATGCGCTTTCGAAGTGGGTTGGACAGATTCCAAAAGAGGTTGTCGACGATATGGCTGCTGTTGCGCCAATGTTGAGCATTCTTGGATACGATCCTTTAGGCAATCCACCAAATTACGGGACTCCTGACGCAATTGTCGTGAAAAAGACCCAAGATATCCACGAGAATGGACAATTGTGGTATAAAAAAGCCGTCGAGGTGGTGAACGATCCGGGAAGAGTCGATCGACCGATTTAGTTTTGTGACTTTTTTATGATAGATGCTTGCAATTGTAGGATGAGTGCTGATGAGGAGTAGGGCTAGGTTTTGAAAGTTACAATTGACAATTGACAATCTATAATAAGATGGGTAAGCACTTGTGGGTTTTGGCTAGGTTTTGGGAAACAAACTTTTTGGTACACTGGTTTCTAAGCGACTGGATCAAATGAAGAAACCAAAAAGGTTGTATTTTCATTGGCTTACAGAAAAGGCTTACTTCCAGAATTCTTACCTAAATAGATTGAATTATTTTTAGCTATTATTCTTGTCATTCTTGATCTTTTCAAATCAGATTTTCATAAATAAATTCATCTTTTCAAACCTGCATAACTTAAAGATCCTTAGGCTACTATTACTGTTAATCTCCATTGTTTACCTTGCCCAGTTTGATTCTAGTATGGCTCTAGTTTGGGCTTGTTTATTTTCAAGTTTACCCTATAAAAGAACTATAAAAGAGCAATGTCTGTCCGTTAGTTGCCTGTCTGTCCATCCGTCCGTCTGTCTGTACGGGCTTTTTCTCGATCGTCTTTAGGCCAATAAAGCTAAAACTTTTTTAGAAAACCTTAGAATATATTGTAATTGTGCCATTTAAAACAAAAAATTAAAAAGCTAAGATTTAGTGGCACTACGGGGGCTCGAACCCGGGCCGTGTGAACCGTAGACAAGCGCGCTCCTGACTGCGTCACGGGGGCTATTCCCTCAAAACATCCAGCCAGAAAAACCCGCCATTAAGCGGGGTTTTCGGCTGCTTTTTTTGCAAGCTTCATATCCAAGTAATTATTACAAATACACGGGAATGTTTTTGATGATTTTGTGATGTGAAATCAGATTCTCTGAGAGGGGTCAGACAAATCTCTAGGGGCGGGTAGACACTTATCTCGACTTTGACCCTAATTTTCCATATGTTTTTATCGGTAAGTCTACAAAAAAGATTCTAGATTTCTTTAGTCAAATTTAATGTAGATTCTAATGAAACCAATCATAAGTTGATTGAGTTTTTACATCTTGAGTTATAGACCATTTAATTAGATCCACCCTTTTAGGTAGGTAGTCTGACTTTGAATGAAATTTTCCCGATATTTTTCTATTAAAATATATTAAGTAGGTTGTGGGTTTCTATAACCGAATTTCATAAGGATCATTTTAAAACCAAACACAAGTCGATTCGACAATTAGAAGTCGAGATATGGAGGAAAAGAGAAGAGTCGTCAAACTCCGATTCTCTGTGGGGGGGTCAGAGAAATCTCTAGAGGGGGTAGATAGTTATCTTACTTACTTAGATCTTACTTTACTATCTAAAAATCGACAACTTTTGTGTTGGATCGGTTGAGTAAATTCGGGCTATTTTTCTCGTTCATCTTCCAAGGCAAATCATTTTTTTTGAACTGATAAGGGGAAAGTGATTTAAAATGCGTCGTTTCAAGTATTCAACTTTTCAAATGATTCAACTCACAAGCCGTCCTCCCCCTTGAATCCTCATGAGCGCTCGTATCAATAGCTTTCGCAATTCCTCGATGCGGGCCCACATTTTCCCTTGGATCAACATTCTTTCAACTGTGATATACCGACAAATTACTGCAAACTCCTCAACAATTGTGATTCTTTTATTTCAAAATCATTGTGCTCTCATAATATCACCCTAAATAGCATAATCGACCTAGCTTTTTCCCACCACCCTGTGCATTTCCAAGGTTCACACCTATACAAATTGTGATAGCTAGTTTACCCTAATATAATAGGTTGATGCATAAGTCTTTTTGTTCCTTTTCGTCTGCCGTTTCAAGCCAACAAATGCACCAATTAAACTACGGTTGATTTCATTAGAAAAACCAATTATTTTTCTGCAAAATAACATTAAAACGGGTTTAAAAATATTGAATGCCTGGATTTTCTTGAGAGTATGAAGTCGGGTAGTCAAAAAGGGCTAACTCGATGATGCGGTTTAGACACCTTAGCTAAAGAAAACCTATCTTCGTGTCAATAGATAAAAGATAGAGAAAAAAAACGTTTGATATTTCGCCAAAATTTCAGAGAAATTCATTCAGCCAATTTTTCCGTAGAGTTTTTTTATAGATTTTTACGAAAAAGGCGTTTTTCACTCTCGAATTTGCTTGAAAGTGAACCGAAATTCATTTAAAAAGATGCAAATTGAACAAAAAAACACTTTTTTTATAGAGCAAACTATATATTAATTCGTGAATTTGTTACTTTTTAACAGAAGTACGAAAAAAACGAAAACACTTATGCATCAACCTATTATTTCTTTTAGCAATTTATTTATTTCTCTTCTTCTCTGGGTACTTCTCCTCTGTACTTAAATCGTTTTTGTGTTTGTTATTGAGATTTGTTATTGGTGGTTTACTTTGTTCTCTAGACTTCTTTTTTTTGTGCTCTTTAGGTTTTTGAAATGAATAAAGAGCTTTATTTTAGGTTGCAACGGGTTCATGTAGGCGGTGAGATCAAAGGAAAAGATGATGGAGAAAAACGGAAAGATTCTTTATGTGATCGCCTCGTGGACGGCACTGTTACAGCTAGCGACTGCGCAGTTCTTGGTGGAAGTGGTGCGTTCATTATTTGAATTCATTTCAATTATAGGATTTTTCAGTTGTTGTTATCTCGAAATCATAAACCTATCTAGTTTATATTGAACTTCGAGAGTACTCTAGAACTCGTTTAGACAAAACCAGCTCCTTGTCAGTCAAGGGACCAGGTATTTGCCCTGGTTTTTGGTCGATTTGCATAAGCCAGCCACTTGTATCTCTAAATCAAATCAAACTAGTTCAAAGCTTAGCCCAAGAATCTTTCAAGAATGTTATCATATCCCTAATTTCATCTAAAAGTTATCGTATCGATGACTTCATCTAAGTTAAAAAAAAGCCTGAGCCAGGACAGAAGTCAGGGCAGGACAGGAGTTGACCTGGTTCAATAATCCGCCCGAATTTTAGAGGCCAAGCTAGATCAGAAGTCGGTGTAGCTTGACTGATTTTGGTTCATGGCTTAACACTAATGATTTGTTTTAAACTTTAATTTATTTAGGTCCTTTTAACTTAAACATCTAGCCTGAATAAGCGTTAGATTTCTTCCTCACCGCCATAGTCTGGGATTTAGCCGGACACTGAGTACTAGGCATGGGAAAATTCCAACCCGAACCTCATTCCACCTTCGTTTTCTCAGCCGTCTCTTGTCCGATTGTTCTAAAATTTTGTCTACAAATAGAAATTGGCATTTTTTGCTTGTAGACAAAATTTCAGAGCAATCGGCTAAGAAACGGCTGAGAAACGGCTGAGAAAACGAAGGTGAAATTAGGTTCGGGTTGGAATTTCCCCATGTCTATTGAGTACTGACTTTTCTGTAAACCAAAGCCTAAAGTAATCTGTACGGTAAACGATGCTAACTCTTCTGAAAATATTGATGCTTGAAAATAACAACACTTTCCCACTCTCAATTCTCGAATCTTTCGAACAGAATTTCCGATAGCTCAGTCTAGGGAAAACATCGTAAAAGAGCAAAAAGCAAAGCTTTTTTCTCAGCTCGAGCCACCGCGGATGGGAGTTCGGAGAACGGTGCACCATTGTGATGCAACGGGAGCGGCCTTTGGTGGAGACACATCGTCGTTCACTTTCACAGGTTATTCAATCGGATGTCTCCATCAAGTTCGACCAGCTCTGGCTTGTTCAAATGTTGAGGTGAGTGATGGATAAGAGTGAGTTGTTGTTGCGGTGAATGATTGATATTTTTCGATAGAATTCTTGGTAGTTCTTAAACTTTGAATTAATGAACCGAATCGAGATTTCCAGATGGTCCCAACGAACTCAAGCGAATGTGTCGTCAACTTCGCTCTTGTCCCAAGAGGAAATTGTAGCTTTTCGGAGAAAGCATGGTTTGTTCAGGTGAGTAGATGAAAGTCATAGCTCAATCATAATCAAAGTGTGACTTATCAATAGATCTCAAACATGATACAGATTAAACTTGTAACGAAAATATCTATCGGTCCTTTTTTGCGACAATTGAAAGTTTTTCTCAGCATCAACCCTTCGATTTTTGACTATCATTCGATGCAAAATAAAATTACGCGTTGAATGATACCAAAATCAACTCAAAGTATAATTTCCATGCAAAGTTATGAGGCAAAAGGTTAAGACCCGCCCATAATGGGCGAGGTTTAGGTTTTTAGCCAACAACTTTGCGTGGATATTATATTTTGAGTTGATTTTGGTATCATTCGACGCGCAATTTTATACTGGGGTTGAATGCTGAGTCAAATATCGAAGGGTTGATGCTGAGAAAAACTTTAAATTGTCGCAAAAAAAGGACCGACATATATTTTCGTTAAAAGTCTAATACAGATCCCGCTAAAAGTATTTTCTTTTTATTCTATTTTAAGTTTCAAATAGTAATGAGTATCATAATAAGCAAAATTGGCTAATTAACTAAAAAGTGAGCTTTCAGAATGGTGAACCAGGCGGCTTTCGGGCTATGATCGTTGGGAACAACGAGGGAGAGCCCCCGACACAAATGAGCGGAAGAAAATATGCTGATCGGGTGAGCCTTTGGATTAAATGTTAATTTCAATTTCAAACAAAGTATCTATACAATAAAATATCCAAATGATCTTTTATCGTTCTTTTTCAAATTCCTATTCAAATTCCTATTTCCAGGTGGAAATCCCGCTTGTTATGATTAGCTACTCGTGTATGCAAACGATCTTGAAGAAATTCCCGGTGACTCAAGGTTATACAGTACAGGTTTAGCATTAGATTTAACTAAATTACTTCGTTTTTTTGATTTTTAGATTAAACTCTCGCCCGGTTATTATGATTTATTTCGATATCTCATTCCATTTGTTGTTGTTGTCGGGTTTTGTTTCACGGTTTTGGTTGTTAGTTTGGTGAGTTTAAACAAAGAAGAAGAAGAAAAAAAGTACTAATTGCAATTATAAATATTATTACCATAAATACTGTAATAGTACCCCACTCCCATAATGACGGTGCGAAGTGTTGCGTAGTCTAGCTTTGAACGAGTTTTTCTCGACACTGGTTTATGCTATAATGCGCGCGTAGGTATCAAAAAATAGCCCTGAATTTCAGCTATTTTTTGATACCAAAACGAACATTGTAGCATAAACCAGTGTCGAGAAAAACGCCTCCAAAGCTAGACTACGCGACGCTCCGCACCGTCATTATGGGGGCGGGGTACTATTACAGTATTTACGGTTGATGATTTTTAATTTTTTAGCTTATTCGATTGTGCCGAGAAAGAAGGAGACTCGCCCGGAAGCGGCTGTCGAAGAAAAATTTGAAGAAAATCCCGACGAGGAAGTATAAGGTTTGGGAAAAGCAAGTGATAGGCTTATAAATCCAGTTAAATCCATTTAAATCCAGTATAAATCCAGGAATAATCCAGTTTTTATTTGATATCAACCTCTAAACTAAAGTAAAGTAAAGAATGGTAAAGAAAGATTTCCGGAGAGAGGGGAATTTATGAAAATGCTGATTATTTCAAACTAGCGACTCTTTTTCAGTCCGGTGACGAGCCAGAGACATGCGCGATTTGTTTGGACGACTTTGTGCCCGATGAAAAGCTCAGAATATTGCCTTGTAGACACGGTAAGCTTGACAAAAGTTATTAGTAGAAAGATTAGTAGATAGATTAGTAGAAAGATTAGTTGAAAGATTAGTTGATAAGCCTGGGCCTAAGCCTAAGCCTAAGCCCAAACTCAAATAGACTTAGTGCTAGGCGCTAGCCGCTAGCCTACACACTAAGTCCAAGCTTGTTGGATCCTGAAGCAAAGCCATTAGATTGTGATGTGATTTTGGCTCACTATCAGATCTATTTTTAAGCTGTCTCTCTTGAATTCATTAAAGCTTTCTAATGCACTGAATGCTTTCTAATACTTTCTAATGTTTTCTAATACTTTCTAATGCTTCCTTTCAAAAGTTTTCAATTTTAAAATTCAATCAATTCAGTCTATCATTGCAAATGCATCGATCCATGGTTGACGAAAAATCGAAAGGTTTGCCCGATGTGCAAGCGACGAGTCGGTGATAAAGGATCGGACAGTGATGACTCCGATCACGATACAAATACGGTAAATATCAGATTTGATCAAAAAAGCAACAACGAACCTTTCAGCAACAACGAACCCTCGTCAACCAGAATCAATATCGACAATTGCGCGAGGAACCCTCGACGGAGAGTCTCGTCGTCGCGTTCTCACCCGAAAATCAAGGTACGCGGAATTTTTAAGGCTAGATAGCACATTAGCACATAAGCCTGAGAGAATCAAGCGATAAAACGCTCAAATCAGATCCCACTTTCGCTAAATTTCTAAGAAAAATACAGACAAATTAAAGGCAAAAATTCGGGCATAGGCATAGCATAGGTTAAACTTGATCAAAGCTTTAACCTATGATCAAAGCAGATCAAAACAATTGAATCCTCAAATTCCCCTTCTTCAAGTTCAATTTTCCCAGTTCCTCTCACTAAATATTCTTGCTCTCCACAAAAGTTCTCAGCGATAAAACGATAATACTTTACTGTGATTTATATGTCGTAGCCGATTATGAATGAGTGGGTTTAGGAGCGTCCAATCGTCAAGTATTTAGTATCATTCAACGCAGAATCATTAATAATTATGTTAAATTTTTTTAAATTAGAAAGACTGGATAAAAGGAAAAAAAATTATGGGGCTTCAAAGTTTCCTCTTCTCTTTCTCTTTTCAAAGCTAAAACTGCATTATAAATAGATAATATTATCAGATAAGGCATTCAAAAGCTTTACAAAAATAAGATCAAAGCTTGCTCACTTGTCCTGTCTTGTACTAAGCGGTTCAACAAGGTCTCTCGGCGTTGTGGCACTTCTTTATTGTTTTTTTTGTCAAGTCATTGGCAATCTAAAGTAAAAAATACAATATAAAATGAGAAAAAAGTTGTCAGCGAAAGTTTCTTCTCTTTTCAAAGCTAAAACTGCATTATAAATAGATAATATTATCAGATAAGGCATTCAAAAGCTTTACAAAAATAAGATCAAAGATTACTCACTTCTCCTGTCTTGTACCAAGCGGTCCAACAAGGTGACTGGTCGACGTTGCAACACTTCTTCCTTGTTTTTTGTCGAATCATTGACTATCTAAAGTAAAAAAATACAATATAGAACGAGATAAGAAGATATAGTTCCGGAAAATCAAAAGAACAACGTCTTACGCGTCACTTAGCAGACACCGATTTTTTGCCAAAAGCGAATCACCTTATGCTGGAGCGTATGCCAGATTACGAGCGATTACGCGGCCGCACAAAGAACCCTTAGCACTCATTTCTTTTGCGTTGTAGATTGCAAAAAAAAGGAAATATTGAGCTGTAAATTTGTACCCGAGGGTTTTTGGGATCGGAGAATCGATTGGAGCTATTAGTTTTATTGAGTCTGGCAATTGGAACTTGCGTTCGATTGACCCAAACTTTTAAGCCAAACGAAATTGCTACCGGCAAAAGGGTTTTTTGAATGTAAAAATGAGGCTAATCTATTGGCCAATAGCTTGAGCTCAATGTAACTTGAGTAAATAGTGCTTGCAATTGTTTCCAAGATCAATTTGAAAGATCAATTAGAAAGATCAATTAGAAAGATCAATTAGAAAGATCAATTAGAAAGATCAATTAGAAAGATCAATTTGAACGATCAATTTGAACGATCAATTAGAAAGATCAGTTTGAACGATCAATTTGAAAGATCAATTTGAACTCATTTTCAATCTTTCAAATTCCATTTCATTTCCATTTCCATTTCAGCCTCATCTTCCTCATCGCTTCATCGAGCCGAGGTTCATCGAGCGAATGCTGGACCTTTGGAATACGACACGGAACACCTCGTCCAACAACATGATGAAAGTGATGATGATCATGCGATTAGGTGAGCTTAAAACAAGCAATGAAAAAATGATTTAAAATCTAGCAATGAACAAGATGAGAACTCATCCATTCACGTCTCTTCGTCGGTGACTTCACTGAAGGATAAGCTGAAGGATTTTATCAAGAGAGTTCGAGGAACGCCACCGGTACGTGCAAAGCTTCACAATTAACAAGAATAAACAAAGTTATAGTAGTTATAAACGAAGTTATAGTAGTTATAAACGAAGCAAAACTTGTAATATTGACTTTTTCTTCAATTTTAGGCCAACGATGATCTACCTCATGGACTTGACAACGTGGCCTTTGATGAGAGTGCAGTGAATGCGGCTGGGAATTCGGCTGGGAATGCGGCTGGGAATGCTTCATCGGCGAATGTTACTCATATGTAAGTTGGGTACAGAAAAGTTGCCAATGAGTAGACTTATCTATCTTTAGAGTAAATGAAACTTCCATTTTTATTAAGTTACTACAAAGTGAACATAAAATTTTCGTTATCGGACATTTGATAAACGCCCCTGCGCCTTTTGCCATTGGCTAACTTTGAGCTGAAATATCTCGGTGTTGGACTGTTCAATTTCAATATTTTTTGTACCAATCGATAGAGAAAGACTTGGCGTGTCTAATGATATCAAGAGGCTTTAAATCGGACAGCTCAGCACCAAGATATTTGAGCCCAAAGTTAGCCAATGGCAAAAAGGGCGGAGGAGCGCGTATGCTCACGGATTTGCGACGCGATTTTACGAGAGAGTAGCTTTCTATTAGAGCATTTACGGGAACAGCGTTGAATTCCACCCAACTACCTAGCTCCTACCCGATTATAAATGATGAGCGATGATTTGACACTGTTGCTTTCTCTGAACGAGAAAAATTGCAGCAAAATGCTTGAAATGAAACTAGTAATGGCTTACAGTTTGTTTACTAAATCTTGCTAACTTGTTAATCGATCGAATCGATCGAATCGATCAAAAGCAATCAAAAGCAATCAAAGCTGAATACTCCGGGAATTTCAGGGACGAGACCGAGCTCCAATCCTCGTCACTCACGCACACATTTTCGGATCCCTTTGACGAGCATCGATCCTAATCGATTCCCCATTTCATCCGACAAAAACGATGGAAACATTCTCGACATTCACGACATTCTGTACATTTTTGTACATATCCAATTCTCAATTCTTCCACTCTCAATAATTCTTCTCAAGTTTTCCAAAGTACCTTAAAACTCATCTATTCATGGCCTAAAAATAGCTTCATTCAGAGTGATTTCTTATCACGAATTTGCGCTAAATCTGCAAGAAATCTCATGAATTTTGTCTTGTAAACTTCGAAATTAAAATTTCTAAAGGTTTTCAGAGATTTTGGCAGAAATAGCTCGATTTCTTATGGAATTCGAATCATTTTTTTGCCTGCAGTAATTGCCACGACTTTTTTTAGTACAAGATCTATCTTTTTGTGGATTTTGGAGGCTTAGAAATGAATTTTATGAGAAATTATCGGATTTGGATCATCGAAGATTTCTTATAGTATCCCAAAAAGATATCCAGCCAACAAACCAGCATCTGTAACTACGATTAGTTGAAAGGTATTCAGGCTCGTTGGTTGACTGGTTTTTTACTTTAAAATACTGTATTGAGATAAGTGATTGGTTTTGGCTTTTGCGTAGTTTTCGGGTATTTTGAAAGTATCGGGGTATTTAGGAAAAATCGGGGTCTTTGAACAGGTCGTCTCTCTTTGTAGGCCTATAACTTTGTCCAGAGATAAGACCTTTGCTAACTTTTTATATCATTGTACAGAGAACATTTCAGTCTTTCAAACGATACCAAATAGAGCTTGATTGGATAATCCAGTCCGATGAAAACGACGCGAGACGACACTCGAGTTGGATAGGTCTCATTTGCTCAGAGTTGGCTCTGATTTTCTTGGACTGGATTATCCAATCAAGTTCTATTTGGTATCATTTGAAAGACTGAAATGTTAGCTGTACAATGATATAAAAAGCTCGCAAAAATATGATCTCTGGACAAAGTTATAGGTCTTGAAAGAGTGACGACCCGTTCAAAGACCCCGATTTTTCCAGAATACCCCGATTCTTTCAAAATACCTGGTAACTCCGCAAGAGCCCTGGTTTTTTACCTTGTAAATAGTACTGTAAAGGTGCTTTGAGGTGCTGGAGTACTGTAAAGTCTAAAGTCTAAAGTCTACAGTACACCAGCACCCCAAGGTAAAGCAGTACCCTCATAAAATCCTCCATTTCGAAGCCTCACTCAATTTCTGCGACGTAAACGCGCCATTTGGCACATAACTCTCAAGAGCTCAGTGCACTAGGCCGTACGCGTTTACGATCCCGTGCCCAAGTCCATAAATCCTCCAAAAAATCAGACACATTTCCTGAAAAAATTCGAAACCCCGTTGATTCAAATTTAGTCAAAAATCCTAAATGTTTACAAGAAATTTTTCCAATATTTACAATAAAAATTGAAAATAAATGGCTTGCTCATCGCGTTCTGCTCTTAATCTTTTCGATAATTCTTTCACTTTAATGCTGAAATCTTTTAAGCTGAATGCCCAAACTTATCCTCTCAAAATAAAAAGTCACTTTTTGACCTTCAATTGAAATTTTTTTTGTTGTCAATAATACCTTTCTTTCCGAATTAACGATATAATTTTTCTTAGTGAACCGGGTTTTTTCTTTTCTTTTCTTTTGCTTTTCCTTTCTTTTCTTTTCTTGTTTTTTTATATGCTAATTTGAATAGCTTTCTTTTTTGAATCATTCAAATTTCTCAGCTGTATTGTCTCTCTGAAATTCTCGACTTTTTCTAGAATTTGCTTTGAAATGACGCATAAAAATGATTACGGTAAATGGTTTTATTCAAGAAAATCACATGAAAATTTATGATCATTGAACATTTTGAAACAAAAACTCATTTCAAGTTTAAGGCTTAGGCTTAGGCTTAGGCTTAGGCTTAGGCTTAGGCTTAGGCTTAGGCTTAGGCTTAGGCTTAGGCTCAGGTCTAGGCTCAAGCTCAGGCTTAGGCTTAGGCTTAGGCATTAAGCTTAGGCATTAGGCTTAGGCTCAGGCTTAGGCTCAGGCCCAGGCTTAGGCTCAGGCTCAGGCTTAGGCTTAGGCATTAAGCTTAGGCATTAGGCTATTAAGCACACAGGATCAAGGTTCGGTTTCAACTGATTTCAAGTTGTAAGGATGTTATTGAAAATGGACAGTTACAGCAAACACTGTGACTTTTCAAATTAACGTATTCGTCTATAACTTACCCAATCAGCTCTTCTGACTCATCTTTTCCTCGAATCATTCATCCGTTATTCTACATTTCCATTCAATTCGACGATCTCTTCTTCTCCGGCAAGATGTCCAACCGTTGGATGATCGTTATCCCTGTCTCTTTCTCTGTGCACTTCTCTCAGATCATCAAGTTCAAGCACAAAAGTGCTATTCAAGCTTGTGAACAATGGAAGTTACATCATTGCCCCATTGTTGAATATGATCTTTGCATATCGTATAAAGATGGGGACTCCGGATGTGATTTATTCGGCACGATAATCACAATTCGACACACAATACTAGGCTTTATCTTAACTTAACCCACGTCTACATTCTCCGTGGCTCCGTTATCCCTACTCTTATCCCTAGATAGCTTGTTATGGCGGTGAAGAAAAGACGAGGACGGCTGGGTCGGCTTCTCGGGACTTTGGCTATGAACCGGTCTACCGGGCGGGATCGAATCCGGTTCTCAGCTTCGGAGACCGGTCTTAGAGACAGCCACACTAGCGTTGCGGTCACCAATGGGGTGGTGCGTATGTTGAATTAGAGAGATGCATTATCAAATTTTCCTTTAATCTTCAGCTATATTTTGCTGCTTTTTTTGCTTTGACCAAAAATAAGCCATATAAAAGCCAATAAGCCAATAAGCCAATAAGCCAAAGAAGCTAAAGAAGCCAAAGAAGCCAAAGAAGCCATGTTGCTTTGTGGATCGTTTGGGCAATCTACTAATGTACAGGATGTGAAGGAGTGGGTTTTCTGACCTTTGACCTTGATCTTTATTTGATATTTGATTGATACTTGCTATTGATAAGGGAAATTAAGGAATAGCTAGAAGAGGAAACTTTTCAGAAATGGATTTCTTTCTTTCAAAAGCTCCAATGGACTAGAGATGGGATTTGTTGGGCTGAAGATTTGTGCAATACCGTAAGCAACAAATTGACTTAATTGCGTGATTTTAAAGAGGAATTCTCTAATGCTCCAACTTGTTTCAATAAAAAAATCTGCACAAGTAAAACTTTATATTAAAAAAAGAGTCCTTGGAACTCTAAATTTTGTCGATTTCCTTTGAAGAAAAAGGTTTTATTCAATGTTTTCTTTCAAAATGCTATTTACAACTGTACATTGGTGATGAGATCAGAAAAAATTCCCGAATTTGTTGAGTGAAAGAGTGAAGAATGGTCAAAGAATGGTAGAATGTAGTCACGTTGAACACTTTTCGTTTTCATCTTGTAGAGCCTAAATCGTCTTTATCAGGAATTGTGGGGATTCAAGTTACCTTTGCTCGCTCGCATAACAATGCGATATCAGCTTGCTCTTTGATCACGCAAGTATCGCTTAGACCAAGCTGAAAAAGATTTTGATCTCAAGTACACACTTTTCATAACAATTTTATTGCTTTACTAGTACTATTCCTTCAAACCAGGGCTCAGGAACATGAGCCAGGCTGAGTCTGAGGCTGAAGCCTGAGCCAGACTGAGTCTGAGTCTGAGGCTGAGCCAGGCTGAGTCTGAGTCTGAAGCCTGAGCCAGGCTGAGTCTGAAGCCTGAGCCAGGTTGAGTCTGAAGCCTGAGCCAGGCTGAGTCTGAAGCCTGAGCCAGGCTGAGTCTGAGTCTGAAGCCTGAGCCAGGCTGAGTCTGAGTCTGAAGCCTGAGCCAGGCTGAGTCTGAGGCTGAAGCCTGAGCCAGGCTAGGCCAGGTCAAGCTCAACTTATGCCTGGCTTCTGGCGAGTATCAGGGCCCACTTCAGAAGGCCTAGATTAGCCAAAATTGGGCCAATCGTCTTGATTTTTCTGGACGTAAATCATAAGAATATCTCCTAAAAAGGGTACCGATTATCTAATCGATTCAAGCTTTCAACTTTTCTATATAATCTTCCAAAGTTGAGAGCCACATTTCACTCGGCACGATGCTCATTTAACTATTTTGAAAACGATCTTGTCAAAATCTCGTTGAGATTGAATTTCTTATGTTAATAGATAAAATTCCGCATGCTTTACGGAGTTGAAATGCAAATGCGTTTTGGCTTGGTCTGTTTTTTGTTTTGTTTTTTTGTTTTGTTTTTTTTGGCTTGTTTTTTCTTTTTTTTTTTCTCTTTAGCTTGCTCTTTGGCTTGGTCTTTGGCTTAGCTTTTGATTTTGAAAGAGAGAAAATCACTTCTGCAAAAGCTTACCATGTTTTGACACTTGAGAATCACAGGCGCACAGCCGATCTCTCGTCGTTTCCGCGATTCGGCTGTCATTTCTGAAAGCTTTTAAAACTTAATTTTATCAATTTGATTGATTTTGATATTCATTCACTTAAATTCTCTTAAATTCATTAATAATTTTGTTTTAAAATGTTCAATAATTTTGTTTTCATTGACAAAAACCATTCCCCAAAATATTTTTCGAGTCGCGCATTCTTGAGCACTTTTTTTTAGAGAATCCACGAGTGATCCGTCAAATTTTGGGAAAGAAAGCTGTCATTTGGGGAATGAAAGTCGAAGCTCGATTGGAATTTGAGCAGAAAAAGGTTTGGAATTCGAGAGAAATCTCTTTGTTTCAGAATTTTTTGCGTCACTTAGAGATCGACTTTACTTTGACAACTTTACTTTCGCAACTTTACTTTGGTAAGGCAAGTGAATCTAAGTCTTGACAATTTAGAAGAGCGTTTGCAGGTGACAGTTCGTCATTTTTTTTAGTTTATAGCGCTCATATCTAACTTTCAGGTGCTAAGGTTTGAAATTTCGTAAAAATTTTTTATTTTTTTATTTTGTGAGCTCTGTGTGAAAGTTTATTTCAACAATCAGAACTTGAGAATTTGCAAAATTTAAAACTCTATAGGTGTTGATCAGTTACTGATTTACGAGGCTCTATAGGTGTTGATCAGTTACTGATTTCAGGTAATTGTGAACCGGTTTCCTTTCGCAATAAACACTCATTTCCCGTCCGTAAATTACCGACAAAAACTAACAAGAGGAAAAAAAAGTTGTTTTTGATATTTGTCAAGTTCATTTTATTGAAAAGTCATGTGATTTTCGGATGAACGGGAATGGATTGTTGGGGAGAAGAGAACGGGAATGGATTGATGAGGAGAAGAGAGTGGGAATGGATTGATGAGGAGAAGAGAGTGGGAATGGATTGTTGGGGAGAAGAGAACGGGAATGGATTGTTGGGGAGAAGAAAACGGGAATGGATTGATGAGGAGAAGAGAGTGGGAATGGATTGATCAGGAGAAGAGAGTGGGAATGGATTGTTGGGGAGAAGAGAATGGGAATGGATTGATGGGGAGAACGATCCCCAAATCACCTTTTACAGGGAAGCCAATCAATCAACAACAGCTGATTTATAAATGAAAAAAAAAAACGATCGTTTGTTTCGAAGTTTCAAAGTTTCAACGTGTTCTTCTTTAGAGCATCAAAAATGAGATGGATTGATAGACAAAACCTGGCTATTGGCTATTGGGCTATTGGGGGAATAGGGTGAAAGAGCTCTAAAATCTTACCGTTTTTGTTAGAACTGGAAATTTATCGCTAGGGGAATTTATCGTGAAGCATCTAGAGAATTGAGTGCCCTAGAAAGAATGTTAGCAAGGAGGTTATTATTTAGGTTGTCAAGCAGGTTATCAGTTAGATTATCAAGCAGGTTATCAAGCAGGCTATCAGTTAGATTATCAAGCACAAAGTAGATCCAACAAGAAGAAGATACAGGCTTATCCATTACAGACTATTCCATTACAAGTTTATCCATTACAAAAGCTCTACCTGAACAATAGTCCCCATTCTTCTCGAGCTCAACAGTGAAACCGCAAGCAGCGATCGGTTTAGAAAGCGGGTATTCTCGAGGTGATCGACGGACTCGCAAAGCAGTGTTCTCCTAAAGCTTTATTTAAGCTTTAGTTTTAGTTTGCTTTGTTTAAGCACCACTTGATCGATTGTTTTTTTTAAAATACAAAACGATTATAACAATCGTTTAAACACTAATCTTTTAAACAATCGTTTATACTAGGTTGGTGCAAATGAAATTTCGTTTTTTTACAAACATTAAAGTCATCCAAAATTTTTTTAGATAACAATTTATTTAAAACAATAAGCACCATTATTATCTATGACATCCCTCCAACGTTGCTACAGATTGCGGATCCCCTTCTCAAAGAACGCTTGATTCTGTGATGCAAAGTAGTTGGTCACCCAATTTTCGACTTCTTTTGCATTCTTAAACTGGCAATTCTCAAGGGAATGTTGCATCGATCTGAAAAGGTGAAAATCGGAGGGTGCTAAGTCTGGACTATACGGCGCAGGTGGTAAGACCTTCCATCCTAGCTTCTCTAGTTCCTTACAAGAGGTTTTTGCCGTGTGAGCTGGAGCATTATCACGGAGAAAGTTGATAGTTGAGGGATTTAGGCCTTTTTCACGCAAAATTTCGTCAACCTTCTTGAGTTGTTGAATAAAATAAGATGAATCGACTGTTTTTCCGGGCTCTAATAATTCAAAATGAACAAGTCCATTGATATTCCACCAGCAAGACAACATCACTTTGCGCCCATGATAATCCGGCTTTGGAGTTGGAATTGGCGCTTGACCTTTGCTCAGCCATTGTCTTTTTCGAGAAGTATTATCAAAGTGAATCCACTTCTCATCCATCGTCAAGATATTCTCAAAAAAAAATGGCTTCTTTTCGACTTCTGGAGCAAGATATGGCTGATCGGAACGCGTGCTCCCAGATTCTCAACACTCAATTGATGTGGAACCCATTGTCCATTACGATTTGTCTTTCCAATTATTTCCAAATGGCGTACAATTGTTGAATTGGAGATGTTTGGCAAGTTCTCGTGTTGTTTGCATTGGATCAGCTTCAATTCATTGTTGTCGATGGCTGTGGCACGATGTCCATGCGATTCGTCTTCAAGGGATTCATTACCATCTCGGAATTGGGCAAACCAGAACTGGCATGATCTTTCGGTGATAACCTGTTCTCCAAAGGCGGAACAGAGATCACGATGTGAATCAGCAGCGTTTTTGCCCATTTTGAAGTCATAGAGAAGACACGTGCGCAGAACATACTTTTGATCCACCATGATCTAAAGCAAAAATCAATTAAAAAGTGAAAGCTCTGACTTTGAAAAAATGCGAAAATAAAGTAAATATCCAAGAGTACAAATGCACAAAAGAACATCAAATAAGCTCTTCAGATTAAAAAAATAAGAACATTTTATATCGACCGAAATTTCTTTTGCACCAACCTAATACAATCGTTTAAACAATCGTTTAGACACTGATCGTTTAAACCCGCTTATGCTAATCATTTAAACCATCTTAACTCTCTCTAATCTTGTCGATCTTCTCTATGGAACATTTACAACTATTGGGTTGGTGAATTGAAAACAGCCGGCTATTGTCATATGTCCCAGTTTGAGCACTTTCTTCAAAAGAAACCCATTTTGGTGTCAATGGAAAAGTTGTAGAGAATCAAAAATCGAGCTTATATCCAAATTTTCAGAACGATTCAAAAACTGGTTTTCCGGAAATGCCAAATTTACGAATTTTCACAAAACTTGCAACAAAACTTGCATTTTAAGCGAAACTACTAAGTGTATCTTTTTGGAAATTTGGCTATAAGCCTAATTTTTGATTCTCTACAACTTTTCTATTGATACCAAAATGGGTTTCTTTTGAAGAAAGTGCTTAAACTGGGATCTCCAGTCGCCATCTCCAGTCCTTCTTCAGTCTTCTCACACTTGTCTCACACACAAACCAAAATCCTACTACGAAAGAGGAATCCGCAAATTGCCTGTAAAATGGGCAGAAGTCGTCAATAATAATGGAAATTATTTGTAATGAATTGGTGGTTTTATGTTGAATAAATTTTAGTTCAAAGTTCAGTTTTCAATTCATCAACCCAAAACAATCCTGAGCTTTCTCTACAACTCTTGAACCCTAAATCTCTTGAACCCTTCAAAAATGGCTCGAGAAAGCTTTCTTAAACGGTTTTAATCTAAACTTTTTAATTAAAACTGTTTAAACTAAACCATTTTAAACTAAACCGTTTTAATCTAAACCGTTTTAATCTAAACTGTTCAATTAAAACTTAAATTCTTCTAAGTTTTATGAATCTTATCTTTTATAAATCTTATCTTTATGAATCTTATCTTTTATGAATCAAATTTTATCTTGTCAAGCTAGAATTCTTGTAATTTTTATAAATTCATACAATTTTCTTACCTTTTCCAACTCTGATGGTATCAAAAAGCACATCTCTGGCTCATGCGATATCCTTGCGATGATAAATCTCTAAACATTTTCTTAATATATTTTTCCTTTTTTTCAACTTTAACATGATCAGTTTTCATCTTTCTTTTTATAAAATTTATCTCAATTTCCTCAGTTTCTCAAAAAAAACAAAACATTGAAAACTCACTCGTTGCGGAACGGCCATCGTTCTTGTTGGGATCCATTCAACCTAAAAAAAATGACAGATTTAGATTGGGAGTTGCTGAAATTGCTGAAATTGCTGAAATTGATGAAATTGCTTTAGCTTAGCTATTTAGCTTTGTCTTTAGCTTTGTCTTTAAGCTTAACTATTTAGCTTTGTCTTTAAGCTTAGCTATTTAGCTTTGCATTTAAGCTTAGCTATTTAGCTTTGCCTTTAAGCTCAGCTATTTAGCTTTGCCTTTAAGCTTAGCTATTTAGCTTTGCATTTAAGCTCAGCTATTTAGCTTAGCATTTAAGCTTAGCTATTTAGCTTTGCATTTAAGCTTAGCTATTTAGCTTTGCATTTAAGCTCAGCTATTTAGCTTTGCCTTTAAGCTCAGCTATTTAGCTTTGCCTTTAAGCTTAGCTATTTAGCTTTGCATTTAAGCTTTTCTAAACATTTAATCTAAAGACTTTTGACACTGATTTTTCTTGAATAAACCAGAAAATTTACGGTTTAGCCCAAAAGCTGAACAGGCAACTAAAGAAACTAGAAAATTTCCTAAATTCTAGAAAATTTTCACAGTGATCGCCACAAGGATGGCGCTACAAGGATGGCGCCATAAGGAAATGGATTGTCTGCGGAAATTTTCTCGAATCTTATCGCAAAGTCTAGACTAGAGGATCAAATAAGGATCAAATAAAGATCAAATAAGGATAAGGATCAAATAAAGACAAAATTCGACTATCAAATCCAAGCACAGTACAGGGCATTTCGAGATGGAAAGAAAAAGCGGTCATTGATGTAAAATTGTTTGTCAGTTGAATGCCTATCATTACTCAAAATCATTTATTTAAAAGCATTTATTTAAAAGCATTTAAGACTGGTAAAGACTTGGGACATTTTCAGGGAATTTGGGGCCAATTCGGGAGTCCTGTTATAGCCATTATAGTCACTACTTGCACCTTCTTTTCCAAGAAAGCTATTCCCAAGAAAGTTTACATACAAAATGCATAAAACTAAGTCTGAAATGTAGAAAAGCGTTATCAAAAAGACTATATTGATGGATTTGAGCTTTTTGGAAGACTTGGAACATTTCAGACATTTCGGGGCGATTTGGAGCCGTTTCGGGCCCAATTCGAATTCTTTAAACTGTTCATCTCTTTTCGATTCCTTGAATCATTCGATTGTTTAGTATGTCTGTTACGTCTGATCTAGAAACCCGTCTGATCTAGAAACCCGTCTGATCTAGAACTGATTCTTCACTTCACTCTAGAGCGGACGTCCGATCTAGAGTGAAGTGAGGTCAAATGTCCAATCTAGAATCAAGCCAATCACTCTAAATCAGACGTCCGATCCACACTTAGATTTAGAGTGATCGGCTTGATTCTAGATTGGACGATTGACCTCACTTCACTCTAGATCGGACTTTTTGATTCTAGATCGGACGGATTTCTAGATCGGACAGATTTCTAAATAGAACGTAACAAATCAGTGACAGTTAGTGGGATTTTGCGTGAGCCAAGAAACTGGGTAACCAAGAAACTGGGTAACCAAGAAACTGGGTAACCAAGAAACTGGGTAACCAAGAAACTGGGTAACCAAGAAACTGGGTAACCAGGAAGCTGGGTAACCAAGAAACTGGGTAACCAAAAAACGGGGTAACTAAGAAACTGGGTAGCCAAGAAACTGGGTAGCCAGGAAACTTAGCACCGCAAAGTTTACGCAAATGTGGATTTGTATTTTTATTTGCGATTTTTGCACTCAACAATTGTCTGACCTTTTTCAAGTGTTTCTCTTCATCGAAATAATCCTCTGTGCCATGATACATGTGATTTGCGAAAATGAATGTGAATACAGCCGAAATGATGATGATCACAAGGGCGACAACCGTCAAAACGCCATACCCACAACTGTTTTCGTCATCTTGTTTTACTTGTGGATCCATTCTGTAAAGGTAAAAGTTCTCATCATCTTGTTTTATCAAAAAGCAAATTGACAAGAGAATACTGAACAGAAAACAAAAAAATGGACTCAAATAAGCTCAAACTGGACTCAAATTCGACTTTATTCGACTTTATTCGACTTTACTGAAGACTTGGTTTGTACCCGGGATTCTGGAATCGATTGGATTCTGGAATGACGGGATTCTGGAGTTACGGGATTCTGGAGTTATGGGATTCTGGAGTTACGGGATTCTGGAGTTACGGGATTCTGGAGTTACGGGATTCTGGAATGACGGGATTCGGGAGTTACGGGATTCTGAAGTTACGGGATTCTGGAGTTACGGGATTCTGGAGTTACGGGATTCTGGAATGACGGGATTCTGGAGTTACGGGATTCTGGAGTTACGGGATTCTGGAGTTACGGGATTCTGGAGTTACGGGATTCTGGAGTTACGGGATTCTGGAATGACGGGATTCTGGAGTTACGGGATTCTGGAGTTACGGGATTCTGGAGTTACGGGATTCTGGAGTTACGGGATTCTGGAATGACGGGATTCTGGAGTTACGGGATTCTGGAGTTACGGGATTCTGGAGTTACGGGATTCTGGAGTTACGGGATTCTGGAGTTACGGGATTCTGGAGTTACGGGATTCTGGAATGACGGGATTCTGGAGTTACGGGATTCTGGAGTTACGGGATTCTGGAGTTACGGGATTCTGGAGTTACGGGATTCTGGAGTTATGGGATTCTGGAGTTACGGGATTCTGGAGTTACGGGATTCTGGAGTTACGGGATTCTGGAATGACGGGATTCTGGAGTTACGGGATTCTGGAATGACGGGATTCTGGAGTTACGGGATTCTGGAGTTACGGGATTCTGGAGTTACGGGATTCTGGAGTTACGGGATTCTGGAATGACGGGATTCGGGAGTTACGGGATTCTGGAGTTACGGGATTCTGGAGTTACGGGATTCTGGAGTTACGGGATTCTGGAATGACGGGATTCTGGAGTTACGGGATTCTGGAGTTACGGGATTCTGGAGTTACGGGATTCTGGAATGACGGGATTCTGGAGTTACGGGATTCTGGAGTTACGGGATTCTGGAGTTACGGGATTCTGGAGTTACGGGATTCTGGAGTTACGGGATTCTGGAATGACGGGATTCTGGAGTTACGGGATTCTGGAATGACGGGATTCTGGAGTTACGGGATTCTGGAGTTACGGGATTCTGGAGTTACGGGATTCTGGAGTTACGGGATTCTGGAGTTACGGGATTCTGGAATGACGGGATTCTGGAGTTACGGGATTCTGGAGTTACGGGATTCTGGAGTTACGGGATTCTGGAGTTACGGGATTCTGGAGTTACGGGATTCTGGAATGACGGGATTCTGGAGTTACGGGATTCTGGAGTTACGGGATTCTGGAATCGATTGGAGCTATTCATTTCATTGAGTTTACCATTTCATTGAGTTTACGAACTCGGGTTTAATTGGTCTAAACTCTTTGGTTCACCTCTTTGGTTAAATTCAATAAATTCAAACAAAAGACTTTGAGAACCAAAAATCAAAGAAAATCAAAGAAAATCAAAGAGAATCAAACGATAGACTTCTCGTAAGATCGTGAAAGAATCTATTTCAAGAAAATCATTCGATACTTTCGTTTTACTCTCGGCAATTTCGAGATCTTTTCGATTGACTTGACAGAAAATGTGAAACGGTCAAAAACCAGGACAACCAACACTGCTCACCACTTTCTTTTTCTCAACAATTTCTTTGAATCGAGTAGTTTAGACTTTTTGGTGGCGCTTGTGAAAAGTGATAAAATATTTTTGAGATCTTGGGAGACATCCAGGAAATTTTTGAAATGAAAAAAAGATGAAAAGGATGAAAATCCAGGATGAAAAAGTTTGGGAATGTAATGGAATTTTGAAATGATATAGATCTAAATCTAAAAGAGCTAATCAGACAGAGCTAATCAGGCTAATCAGACTAAAAGCTAATCAGACAGTGATCCTTATAGGAATCAAAGTTTTGAATGAAATGAGATCAAAGAGTCAAAGTAGCAAGGGTTTAAAGTAGTTACAGAGCTTACAGGCTTATAATCCGACTTTTTGGTGTCGTAGGTGTTGGGTGTTGGGTAGGATTTTCTTAGAATCTGGATCGGATTTCTAGATTTCTAGATTTCTAGCGGCTTTACGACGTGCTTGAGCCACTATATTCTGTTATTTATTGAGTTGAAACCATGTCTTGCTAATAGCAAAGGAGACTTTCGTTGCTGTAGCTGTAACTTCTCAATCTTTTCAGGTAGACCATAAGTGTTATATATTTTCTGAAAGCTCTAACTAAGATCTCTACGATGGCTTTTAGATCTCTTGGGAATAGCAAAGCATATTTGCCTGAGCCTAAGCCTGAGCCTAAGCCTGAGCCTAAGCCTAAGCCTGAGCCGAAGCCTAAGCCTGAGCCTAAGCCTGAGCCGAAGTCTAAGCCTAACATCGGGTTCCAAAGCACACCGCCAAACGGGTGTCCCTTAGCTCCGAGAACCCGCTGAGATCCAAAAAATGGGGGTTCAGCCCAAACCCAAATAGACTTAGTGCTAGACGCTAGCCGCTAGCCTTCGCACTGAGCCTAAGCCCAAGCCTAAGCCTAAGCCTAAGTGTCTAAAAGCCATCGTAGAGATCTTGATTAGAGCTTTCATATAACACTTTTAGTCTACCTAAAAAGATTGAGAAGTTACGGCGCTGCAAAAATGGGTCCAACTTTCTAATGTCATATTTCATTGTCCAGTAATGTACATGTCATTTTATATTATCTACATATCATGCAGTCATAACTATTATATTAAAACTAGTTAGAGAAATTCAGTAGAGAGTTTGGCTGAAAATAAAACCCTCTAAAATCCGTAAGAAAAAAAACTAAATAAGGTAAATGCCAGCGAAACATTTCTCAAGGATAAATCGGGTAAACAAAAATGTTTTTTTTAACGAACATTGTTGATCCAACGAAATCTAACGGTAAATCCATAAAAAGAAGCAAGTCATAAAGCTTTGACGCATTGAATGATCGGGAAAAATGATAAAAGAAATCCGAGAAAAGGAAATGTTTTCGATTGAGAAACGGGAAGAAATGAGAGATCTCTTTCAGCCAATATCACCAACACTTTTTCTCGTGTTCACCTTTCGACTCGGCCCTGAAAATTCGACCAAAATAGGAACTCTAATTGGTAATTTGATTGGGATTTTGAGCTAAAAATACCCCTAGTTTTGAAGATCTTCGGCTTTGGTATTGATTAATCAATACTCAAGCGAAGGACTCTAGACCAGCCTTGATCTAGCATTGATTTAGTCGAGTCTAGACTTGTTAAAAGTGTTTCTAAGAAAGCGTTTGAATAACTAGATTATGGTAGCCTGTCAATTAGGTGATGATCGGGCCAAAAAGTGATCAAATCAAATCAATCACCCTCGAAAACGACAGTAGACAAATTTTGAAGCTTTGAAGACAGATTTGAAGGCTTTGAATAGCAATTTGAATAGCTCGCCACCGTCCACAACGGCGGTCAAACGAAAAGTGACTTTGTTTCCAATGTGCTAGTTGACTTTGTTGCCAATCCTAATGCCAACCAATGTCAATGCCAATGTCATTCCAATGCCATTCCAATGCCAATTCCAATACCAATGCCAATGCCATTCCAATGCCAATTCCAATGCCAATGCCAATGCCAACAGATGCCAACCCAGGCCAATGCCAATGCCAACCAATGCCAGCCCAGGCCAATGCCAATGCCAACCAATTCCAATGCCAATGCCAATGCCAACCAATGCCAACCCAGGCCAAAGCCAATGCCAACCAATGCCAACCCAGGCCAAAGCCAATGCCAACCAATGCCAATGCCAATGCCAATGCCAACCAATGCCAACTCAGGCCAATGCCAATGCCAACCAATGCCAACCCAGGCCAAAGCCAATGCCAATGCCAACCAATGCCAACTCAGGCCAATGCCAATGCCAACCAATGCCAACCCAGGCCAAAGCCAATGCCAACCAATGCCAACTCAGGCCAATGCCAATGCCAACCAATTCCAATGCCAATGCCAATGCCAACCAATGCCAACTCAGGCCAATGCCAATGCCAACCAATGCCAACCCAGGCCAATGGCAATGCCATTCCAATGCCAATGCAAATGCCAATAGAAAAACAAGGAATGGGCACAGCAACAGAATTCAAATCAAGGTTTAACGTTTACAATTTTTCGCCGATTGAAAGATGTGATCACAAGATGCACATCACCAAATCACAAACCAGTATAATCCCCCAAAAACAGTTAAACAGTCACCGAAAACAAATTGCGAATCAATTCTTTTGTCAATCCCGAAACATTCGTCAAACTGTGTTTTCTCTTCTGTTTTCTTTTTTTCGAATATACGCAAAATGAGTAATGCGAATCAGGCGGCGCCATTCCAAAAATGGAGAGAATCCTGAAAGGTAAAAAGGCAAAAAGGCAAAAAAGACAAAAAAGGACAAAAATCTCGAGAAAAAGAACTACTTTTTGAGATTCGCGGATTCCCAAAATCAAAACAATAGACTCATTTCTCTACTCGAACTTTTCCCTTCCTGAAATACTCCTCAAAAAATCTTTTATTGAGGATACTAAACAGTTTTCTCTCTCATTTTCGATCCGAAAGCTTATCACTGAGAAATTAGCTATGTCAGAGATTGAGAAAATTTCATTTCAATTTCATTTCCGAGAGAAAAACCTTGTCAGTGAGATATGAGATTTTTTGAGGTAACTAGATAGTCAGTTAGTGGTTGGTTTTTTAGAAAATATATAGCTTTTCAGTTTAATATCTTTGTTCTTTAATATCCTAGATATCTTTAAAATCTTTAATATCTTTGGGATGAAAGATATCTAAAGCTAGGTACTCAGTTAGTCTTTGAGATCAACTCGTCTTTGAAATCCACAGATTTCCATTTGAAAAATTATAGATTCAATTACAGATTAAAACTCGAGGCTAATATACTCGAGGCTCGTCTACTCGAGGCTCTTCCAGAGGCTCTTCTACTCGAGGCTCTTCCAGAGGCTCGTCTACTCGAGGCTCTTCCAGAGGCTCGTCTACTCGAGGCTCTTCCAGAGGCTCTTCTACTCGAGGCTCTTCCAGAGGCTCTTCTACTCGAGGCTCTTCCAGAGGCTCTTCTACTCGAGGCTCTTCCAGAGGCTCGTCTACTCGAGGCTCTTCCAGAGGCTCTTCTACTCGAGGCTCTTCTACTCGAGGCTCTTCTACTCGAGGCTCTTCTACTCGAGGCTCTTCTACTCGAGGCATAGGTAAATCAAAGTTTTGCGTCGAAATGTCACAGCCCGTTCTGAACGTTCACTTGCTAGTTTAGATATTATTTCTAATGATATTATTCTAATGATATTATTCTAATGATATTATTCTAATCATATTATTCTAATCATATTATTCTAATCATATTATTCTAATCATATTATTCTAATCATATTATTCTAATCATATTATTCTAATCATATTATTCTAATCATATTATTCTAATCATATTATTCTAATCATAATGATATTATATATTAATTCTAATGATAAACATTCTAATGTTTAGATATTGACACCCTTTGCTTTCTTGTTGGGCCTAGAACATTAAAAAAGCAAAACAAATTTATCGAAAGTAAAAAGTAGAAAGTAGAAAGTAGAAAGTTGAAAGTAGAAAGTTGAAAGTAGAAAGATTTTGTAGTGAAATAGAGGAATTCGAAGGTGTTTTTTGTATAACGTTCATGGATTTTGAGCTCCCCGACCCATGCATGACTTCCCTATTCACAAAATCATCAAAAAATCTTTCATCTTGTCTTGTTGTTGTTTCAAATTTCATCTTGTCCAATTCTGTCCAATTCTGACAACACAATGGGACTTGAAAAATCAACAAGGAACTTTTTCCAGACTCAAACCGATAACCACTTTTTTTTCTGGACACCGTGTATTGGTGGACCGCAGGGGCCGCTAAAGTAAATGCTTTAAATGCTTAAAAAAAACATGGTCTGCATGTAGTTCTTTTTTGATGCTTTATCGATTAATCTTTGAATCTGTCAAACACTTTACAATTAGCCCCAAATTGGCGATTGTTGGGTGGTCGGTGGCTCCGGCACACACAGAGCTGGCTGGGTCTCACAGGTGACCGGCTGGCATCCAACCTTTGTCACATTTGCAATATAGGGACTGCCAGGGTATGTGGGAAGTTGCCAGATAGCGCCGTCGGTGCTGCATGTCAAATTGATGGTATTCGATGGGATGGCATTAAGGATACCGCTGAAGCCGGGACCGTTGTACTGGAATTGAGAATTGATAATTGATAATTGATAATTGATCGTTGAGATTGCATAATCACGATTATCTGTTACCCCACCCGCATCGAAGACATATAACCGGGAACGGTTGACGCGCATGTCATCACTCGAACCACACACCCGTCCGCATTCCGCGTTAGACAATCTACGAGAGTTATGAATCGTTGGTCGTGAGAAAGCAAACACTCTACCACTGTCGAAAGGTTTATAACCGGAACCCGAAGAGAAGTCGTTGATTGTGAGAGCGGGCGATGCGAACGAGCAACTCGCACAATCTGCGGCACCAGCCGACAAGAGCCGAGCCACAAGAGAGGCCAAGCAAAGGAGCCACGAGTATGTCATTTCACTGCCATTTTATGCCTCGATCTCTTCTTTTATACAGTCCAGCTGGTGATCGTCGATCAGGTGATCGTCGATCCAGTTGGCCTCAAAATCCTGGCAATGGGCTCGATGTGCAAGAGTTTCGCCCCAATGCGTTCTCATTCTGCTCGTCGGAGATCACTAAAGCTGTCGGCTATTCATTTTGATCGATAGTTGATGAATCGGTCAGTGAATGGGTCAGGTCAGGGTCGATAAATCTAATTCAGCTATTGCAATTGTAAACTGTGTTCTATGATGTACAGATTTCTTTCCTTTTGTCACGAAACATCAAGCTATTCTCAGTCGAATCCAATAAATGTGCTCCACATTGAACCATCGCTATTGAACCCATATTAAAGCGAGTGCCCCATATTGAGCCATCGCTTCAATAGGCTTGAGAATAGGCGACTCTGTTGTGAGGAATGATTTACATTTGAGCACAGTAGCTGGATTTGACCCATTCATCGATTCTCGAGCTAAATGACTGACAGAACTTTGGTGATATCCCCCGTTTTCCTATGAGCATAGTATTTTTTTAGCGGTAGAATATCGACACCGAAAATAAACAAATTCATATGCATACATTTAACTATCACTAGTCTGTAGATTCAAAGAAAATAGGAACAACGAAAAGAAGAAACGTCTGACTTCAACCCAAATGGAGAAAGGCTCCGGCCATTCGGAGTCCTCGGCCCTTTTCCTATTCGCTCAAATTCAAAAAGAGAAGCCTCCAATTTATCCTCTTCTAAACTCTATTTCTAAATTATTGAAATGCCTCTGGGTCAACTGCATTCCAGTCAGCGTTAGTGCCCTATAAGGGTCACCTCCCAATCTCCCATAAGAGATGGTGAAAAAAGGGCTTAAAAACCGGATTTGATTTTGTATTTTCCGCCGACTTGATGAGCAATCAAATTGATCACTTTTTGTGAACCACCTAGATAATTTCAATAAAAGAAAATCTATGTAAAGCTTCAAAAAAGAATAGCTGTAGAGCTTCGAAGTTAAGGTATTAAATGTTGCAGCTTTGTAGCTTGCAAAAAGGCCCCCAACCCCCCCTCCCCTCCACTCTCCCAAAAAAAAATATTTTAAAAAACCAAAAAAAAAATTCTTTAACCCTTTTTTTTTCTCCCCCCAAAATTTTTTAAATTTTTAATTTAAAAAAAATTTTTTTTAAAACCCAAATGGGAAAAAAAGAAATAAACGGTCATGCTTTAGTTTCTTCCTTTTTTCCTAAGTTCCCCCCTTCCCTTTTTTTTTTTCTTTTTTCTTTCCCTTTTTTTTTTTTTTTTTTTTCAATTCCTCCTTTCCCCCCCCCTTTTTTTTTTTTTTTTCCCCCCACCCCCCCCCCCCCCCCCACCCAAAATCCCCCCTTTGGATTTTTTCTTTTTCCCCCTTTTTTCTAAAGTTTTTAGATTTTCTGATCTCTTTCATTTTCTGATCTTTTTCTGATCTCTTCTCATTCAGTAAAGTAAACACCATTCGCTACGTTTTGCTATCAAAATGTTTTCAATTGGTTCAGTAGAAAAAATTTTGATCAGGAATCAAAGATTTCACGAGAAACTCTAATTTCCGAACTCTAAATTTGCTAAAACTGCTAAAATTAAAAACTAATGCCCGTTTCGTTTTCGATGATCTACAACCCCAAAAGCAAAGCTCCAGCTTTGTAGCTTGCAAAAAAAGGCTTTCAATTTCGAATCTCTCCACTCCTAATCTCTCAAGTGACTCTTTATGATGTCTGTCTCAAAATTCTGTTGAGTTTTAAATATGAAAATGATTTATTTGAATGGCTTAGAAATGAGAAAATAGATGAACATGTGAAACGGTTTCATGCTTTGGTTTCATGCTTCTTTTTAGTCATCTTATTCAGTTTGTGCTTGAGCTCTTTGAGGCTTTTCTCGATGAGCTTCTCATTGTCAAGATCAAGATCTTTTCCGATTTCCATTCCATGTGGTAAGATCTTGTTCAAAAAGAGAAGCCATTCATTCAGCTGCTTGTCCAAATCATTTGTTTCGTCGTAAATGGTCGAGATCTCTTCGAGCATCGAAACCAAATTCTTCACTCTATCGTCGAGCTCTTCGATGGCGACTCGAGTTTCATCGTCTTTCTCTAAACTTTGAATTTCTCTGACCAATCATAGAAAATAGAAACAAGTAGCTCTATAGAAATTTTGATTCGTTTAGTTCTTACGACTTTCGATTCTTTTTTAAAATAGTTTTGGTTCTTTTTTAAAATCTTAGGGTGGTGCAAAAGAAACTACCGATTTGAAGGTAAATTTTAAAAAAAGGATGGCGTTCGATGGTGACATGATCACAATGGAATATTTTCGCAAGATCTCGAGCAGATTGGCATGGATCGGCCTGAATAACGTCCCTCAGCTTGGCTTCGTTCACGACTTCTGGCCTCGAACCGTGCTCGTAATCTTCCAAAGTCTTGTCTCCTTCTCGGATTCGTTGAAACCAAGTCTGACACTGCCTGAGAGACAAACTGACATCTTCGAAAGCAGCACAGAGAGAACGATGCGATTCGGCAGCAGGCTTCCCAATCTTGAAGTTAAACAGTAATGCTCGTAGCACAAACTTTTTCTCGACCATGGTCTAAATAAAAAATAAATAAAATAAACAACAACCAAAAAATTCAAATGTCGAAATAAATAGCAAACAAATAGGCCATAAACAAAACATTAAAAAAAATAATGCCGTTAGCATCGCTCGTTTCTGATAAATGAGAGCTGATACCCATCGGCATGTTCTTTTGCACCACCCTAATAGTACTGCGGTCTGAGCCATCAGAGCCATCAGAGCCGCCAGAGCCATCAGAGCCATCAGAGCCATCAAGTTCTAGTTCTAGGTTCTAGTTCTAGGTTTTTGAGTCGAATATGAAATGATTTTTAACGGAAAACGCTAGAAAAAACTAATATTCTCATTATTTTCATTAGCATTTTAAGTTTATTGCTTGAAATTTCAAAGACCATCAGAGTCTTGAAGATCTTCAGGATCTTCACGCTCGAGTTTTTCACCGGTTGTCTTCAAATTCTCTGCAGAATTCATCTGATCGTTAGCTGCTCGATGCAGAAATGACCATCCTGAAAGCATGAAATTTGAGATCATTCTTTTTCTCACTTACAATTTCTACACTTTCTTAAAACACTCTAAAGCTCTAGACAAGTTTTTTCATTTCAAATTCAACCTCTAATCACTCTAGATCCGCGCTCATGTTGGTTGCCTTCATTTTCTTCTTCACTCGACGCCTAAAACAACTCTAATTTAATTTTCATTCATAACATTAACCTCTTCATCCTCATCTTCTAACCGTTTCTTTTCACGTAGTTGCTCATCTTTCTTGTTCGAAATGGCCAATCGTTGTTTCTCCATTCTTTTCAAAAACTGTTCGGTTTCGTTTTTCTCTGAGCCCAAACGAGAAATCAATTTGCGGATTTCGATGAGAACTCTAGCCTCAAAATCATCCGATTTCAACATTTTATCCAAAACGGAAGCTAGCTGAAAGAAAAATCATTGAAAGGTGTTAGATTTTGAAAAGAATGAGTTCAACATTTGAAGTTTACCTCCTTGAACAAAGCTGTGGATTGGGCAAATTGCTGAGCTTGGTGTTGTTGAGTAACGAGAGTTGAGTGCAACTCAGACCAACTTATTTCCGACAAGGGTTCCTCTTGAGATTGTTGTTGATTTGAATGTCCAAAAGCGGTACTGAAAATGGATTTGTATTAGAATTGTAAATTTTTCAACTGACTGTAGCAACAGCAGAAAATTGATCCCAGAGTGCAAGGTGTTCATCTTTGTCAAATAATAGTCTCAGAGGTCAGAATTTGTTCCCAAATCAAATCCCTGAAAACTATTTTGGTTTATTTTTTAAATAAATATTAGGTACATGCATAAGAAATGCGGATTTGAACATTTTCATAAATTTCAAACGATAGAAACTTGATATCTGAACTAAGATAAGCATGGCTTAGTCTTTAACCTGAGCGAGCAGTCTGGCAGGATCGATAAACCTGATATCGATGAATGTTATAAACTATTTGAAAGTTGTAAATCTCCTCTACAAAATAGGCTAAAACGTGTTTCAATTGATCGAAGCCTTCAAGAAATTTCGAGGGCCAAATGCGAGTGACCAAGAAAGGAATCGAGTCACTTGAGGGACAAGTTTAGTGTGGTCAAAATAGAGTTAAGCATGGCTTAGTCTTTAACCTGAGCGAGCAGTCTGGCAGGATCAACCAGATATCTGAACTAAGATAAGCATGGCTTAGTCTTTAACCTGAGCTAAAACGTGTTTCAATTGATCGAAGCATTCAAGAAATTTCGAGGGCCAAATGCGAGTGACCAAGAAAGGAATCGAGTCACTTCAGGGACAAGTTTAGTGTGGTCAAAATAGAGTTAGCTTCCCAAAATTGAAGATTTAAAAAAAAGAAAGAATAACTATATATGAATTCATTAAAAAAGTCTAACGGAAATGCATTTACAGAAATTTAAATAGAGCTTAAGTTCAAAACCCTCAAAATTATCAAAAAAAACCGGCTTTTTCACAAAAAAGAAAAACTGTTGTAAAAACAAAGTTTTCCCATGAAATGATCCCAACTCTTAATTATTATTTTGAATGATATTTTAGGATCGATAGGATCGATCGGTCAATTGGAAGTCGAGTTATGGAGAAAAATAGAAAGTCCCCAAATTCCAGGACTAACCACAGAATTGGATGGAATTTGGAAGGGTCTCCGAACTCCGAGACTCCTGTCTGGAAGGTTAACCAATCCTTGCGCCACAATGGAATCAAAATTGAAATAAAACGATTTTCTCCGTCGTTATGAATCGAGACAAGGTTGGCGTTCATTATCTCTCTAAATTTGGTTGCTTATCTCTCTAAATTTGGTTCCTTATCTCTACAAATTTGGTTCCTTATCTCTCTGACAAGATTGGCCTTGATTGCCTTGCACCAATTGTAGATTAGTAAAAGAAAAAAACTTAACATTGATTGAGAAGAATAATTACAAACAGCAAAGTCGAAAGGACGCACATCAAGCCTTTTAATAAGGTTTTTAAACTCAAGTTGAACTCATCGAAAGCGCGGTCGGGTATTTATAAGTGCTTTAAGCAGAAAGGTAAAGAGATCAAAAATTTAATCATAATATTGCTGAACTACGAAAAAAAAAAGAGCCCCAGATCTTATCTTCAAAAAACAATTCCAAGAAACTCCCCAACAGAAACTGTGAGCAAGAAAACTCTGGAGTTTGAGTTCCTTTTACCACTTTTTTCTTCTTTTTTGGTTTTTTTTGATTGAGTCATTTTATGACCCCTTTTCAATGAAAACAGAGAGGTTGTTTACCTCAAAACTTTTCGCAAAAATAGCTTTCTCTATTCTATTATACGAAAAGAACTTAGATCTCTAATTTCTTTTATCGAAACTTGTTTGCTAGCAATTTTTTACGCAAGAAATTCCCTTTTTGTTACCCCAGTGTTTCTTTTGGTTGTCTACCGTTTTCTGGACAAGCTTGGCTTTTGCTGTTTGCTTTATAAATTTTCCACCGCTTTAGAAAGTTATTACAAAACTTTAAATGTACAATGTACTCATAGGAATTGGCCCTGGGTGCGCTCGGAACTAGGTATGAACCCCTTAGCGCCTAGAGTCCATCCCTCCGTGGTCGCTAGTTGGAAACAGAGCAGATCAAAAACTTGTGCGACGCCGGTGCTCTTTCTAATAGACAAAGATTAATAGTTGTAGCGGTGTTCAAAATGCAAAATTCCCTATTTTAGAGGGTGCGTTGAAGAATTTGAAACGCACTGTATGTTGAATAAAGATATTTAAGTTAACTTTTCGAGTTGGGTCGCATATTTGGTTAAAAGCCAGGTCTTTTGTGTGTTGCGGTAATTCTTGGTCACCCTGTAGATTCGTCGGTTTACTGTACACCTGTCGATATCGACAATAGAAATCAATATCGGCAACTTAAATTTGACGCTTTATTCTATCAATAATTGTTAGTTTTTCAAAACTAACAATGAAATTCAAAAATTTCAAATAAACAGCAAAGGTGGGTGTATTTAAGAATTTGAAACGGTTGATTTACAAAAAAGTCTTTATTTTTCGTATTTTTAGGTTTTAAGACATGCCCTTTATAATAGAAAAAGATTAATATTAGGTGTGTGAAAAAGTAATCCACGTTTTTAACATTTAAATATAAAAGACCATAAGTTTCGTTAAAATAATTTTTATTCAACGAAGTAATCACCATTCGAAAGAACAACCTTTTGCCAACGTTCTACAAGTAAAGACATTCCACGATAATAAAAATCTTGGTCCTTAGAGGCGAAGAAAAGATCAACCTCGGTTTTGACATCTTCTTCGGAATTGAACCGTTTATTGGCCAAAAAGTTAGACAGAGACAAAAATAAATAATAATCAGATGGAGAAAGGTCTGGACTATAAGGTGGATGTGGTAAAACCTCCCATCCAGCACTCTGGATTTTTTGTCGAGTCTGTAAAGAGACATGCAGTCGCGCGTTATGGTTCATGCGGTATCCATTTGTCCAACTTTTTGATAAAATTCATGGCATTCTAGCGTTTCCTTACGATTGACCCATCACAATTTAATGTAAGGCCTATTTCTGAAGAGGTTGGACGAGGGTTTTCGAGAAGACAGCGTCTTATTTGGTCATCAGATAAAAATAAAAAACGTGGATTACTTTTTCACACACCTAATAGTTGTAGCGGTGTTCAAAATGCAAAATTCGCTATTTTAGAGGGTGCGTTTAAGAATTTGAAACGCACTGTAGAACAGTAAAAAATTAACAATTAATTTCAAATTTGCCTCCATCGGCATTCAGACAGGCCTGCAAACGTTTGGGGAACGCATTGACCGTGGCGAGCAAATCGGCATCATCGAGGGTATCCCATGCTTTGATGAGCGCTTTCTTCAAACTTTCCATATTTTTATGTGGTTTTGCACATGCCCTGGCTTCAAGAACACTCCAGACTGAGTAATCCAATGGGTTAAGATCGAGTGAGCTGGGTGGTCACTCAGAAAACGAGATGAAGTCCGGGAAGGTGCCTTGAGCCTTTGCCTTGAGCCTTTGCCTTGAGCCTTTGCCTTGAGCCTTTGCCTTGAGCCTTTGCCTTGAGCCTTTGCCTTGAGCCTTTGCCTTGAGCCTTTGCCTTGAGCCTTTGCCTTGAGCCTTTGCCTTCAGCCGGCGCACTTCCAGGGCGATCAGAAACTGTGCCCAGAGTCTCATAACGTTGAATGGTTCGAGAAGCGAGGCTTCTGGGGACATTCAGGCGCTTTGAGATCTCGATTGCCTGAACACACTGCCGCTTGAGCTCAAAGATCGATTGTCAATGTGGAGACGCTTTCACCATTCCTGAAAACAACGATACTAATGTATTGAAAGTTAGTAATCGTACCATAAAATAAGGAAAATACACAAAAACTATAAAAACAGGTAAGCAAAAAGTGAAATGGGCCTCATAACATAATACGACGTTGTTGCGGTAGTTCTTGGTCACCCTGTATAAAGCCGATTCATTTGGCACTTCATTTTTCTGCATCTGCAGACTCTGCATAGAGTAAATGAAGTGTTTGAAATGAAAAATTCTCCCTCTCTAGAGGAGATTGAAATGAAGAACTCTCCCTGTTTACAAATTTAGAATTTCATTTGAAAAACGTGTCAAGCTTTTCCCATCAACCCAAGAGAACGATCTAGTGGAGAATTTCTTAAAGAGCTTATGCTAAAGTTTAGAAAATGTTATCCTAATATAAAAAAAGCTAGCAAATAAACAAAAAATGATTTCATTATTTGCTTATCCTTCTCCTTCTTCTTCTTGCCCGTGAATCGAAAACAAACGTTTAAAATAATTTTCAGTTTGTTTTTACAAGTAGAAAAAGATTATAAAAGCTCAAAAAGTCGACAATGAATCCTGTTTTCATTTCTGAAAATATTCAAAATGCGTTACGAGTCATTTTTCAATTTATTCATCATTTTGAGCATCTTTGGGCTTCTGGTTGAAGCAAGTGAGAATTAAAGATAGAAAACTCATAATAATTATAACTTTAGGTTTTAAAGGTTTTAAAATAAAGGTTTTAATCGTATTTTAAATAGTTATTAACAACAATTTCTTGTTGGAAAAGATCCTTAACTGACTTTTTGGCTTTTCAAAAAACTAAAAAGTCTGTTACAGTCAGTATAGCTTGATGTACTGACTCTAACAGCTGTACAGTCAGTACAGCCTGATGTACAGCCTGATGTACAGCCTGATGTACAGCCTGGTGTACAGCCTGATGTGCAGCTTGATGTACTGGCTGTAACCCATGAAAAAGCTCATAATAGTCATTCGCTCGTTTAGGCGTCGACAATAAATCGCCAAGAAGTGGAATTTGTCCACCCGGTTGCACGGGAATCCCTCCAAACTGTCGATGTGGTCCGATGTTTTGCCCAGCCGGCTGTACGGGAATTCCTCCGAATTGCAAATGTGGGCCGGCTTTTTGTCCCATTGGTTGCACAGGATTCCCACCGTACTGTCAATGCAATTGAGCCAGTAACTGTCGATGTAATTGAGCAAGTAACTGTCGCTGCAACATAAAAAACTTTTTGTCTTGCTTTTGGAATGGAATGGTCGCGTCCGTTCCCTTCCTATTTGCATTTAATTTGCGTCGCTTTTTCGTCTCGTTTTCTCCTCCCTCCCAAATATCTTTTTTTTCTTTTTTTTTGGAGAAACTTGTGTTTTTGACTTTTCGCCCTTTTGGATTTGAAGTTTTGCCTTCGTTTTTTCGGGATTTAATGTTTCTCTT